ATTGTTCCCACCAGACAAAAGCAATGCTTCGAAGGCATCGTTGATCGAATACGTAAAGTCAATCAGCATCATCCGCTCGGAGGGGGACTTCGAACATTGAGATATGCCCTTGGACAGTTTTTAGCTACGTGAATGATTCTACTACCCCATTAATTATCTCAGCAAATTAGTGCAAAAAATCTCGTGATATAAATGATCTAATGTCCTTTTGCATTACCACTTTTAATTCTTTTCATCTGCCAATAATCCCAAGAATACCAGTTTTCAGAATATTCCACCTTTCAGCATTTTCTGGATGTGAATTCTTACGAATTTTCCCTAATTTTCAGGCGTTATGTTTCGTCCCGTATGAAGAGGTATGGATACTCTGATCGTCGAACATACCGCCGGTCTCGTTCTCGCACACCAACTCCACGAAGACGTGGTGGTTCAAACGATTACGACAGTAGTTATCGCCGAAGATCCCGAGTAGTCTCCAGCAGTCGCTCACGCAGTCCACCGCCCGTTCACAGTGATCGACAAACCAATGGACTACGCCGTTCCCGTTCTCGCTCTATTACGCAACGTGACCCAGCCGTGAGGTATTCGGGTCCACCCAAAGCTGACGATCAGTGGTCCGATCGAAGTGGCTCGTTCCATTAATCTGCATTTATATTACCAGAATTTTTGTCTATGTTCAGGCGTTTCAATAGATCAATCAGTGAATCTCATTCTTTTTCTCAAGCGATTGACAGTTGAGCGTTCGCATTAGTCACGATTGTATCTGCTGCGCTTTCGTTCCTCCTTGAAAGTTCTGTGGTTGATCGAATAAACTTTAAAGGCACTACCCATTCCAGTCTAGACATGAACATATTCCCGGATTTCAATCGGAAGCCCTCTACTCGGTACAAATTCTAGAACTAGTGTAGCCCCAAGGAAGTGGTTGTATTGGCGCATGCGGTAATTCATTTTCAGGGAAACCCAACGATATTTTTATTAAATCAGTCAGTGATTAATCGGGTTCAGGTGGAATCGCCCCTAGTTTGAAGCAAAAAGTCAGTCACGTGAATTTGGCTCTCCACAAGAGTAAAGAACGGAGAAAATGGAGCATGCGTTCTAAAACAAAGTAAGGAAATCAGTGAGTTATTGCAAGATCGAGAGTTTGTTCTAACGTGTCGAACCTGAGGAAGATCAGTGAGCCTAAGATAAATACCATCGTAAAAAATTTCAAATCGGAGCGGATGGTGCTCTAGGAACGGCATCAATCCTTGGGGTGATACTGAAGTTGAAATGGTGACAGTCACGGATAGTGAATCCCCGTGGGGTCTCATCATTCCCGCCAGGGCAATATAATTAATTCGAGTTGATGGATGCAGTAGGGGGTTCAATCTCGTCATGGGAGCTCGAAAGTTCGAATATATGTTAAGACTGAGTTTGTTTGGAGTGGTTGGTCTGGTGGGAGAAATCAGAGCTAATCAGTGGAAATGACCTCACGAGACTGGTTTGGCAGTCTTAGCTGGAGAGGTCAGTGAAGTTAGGGATGAAACCTCAAGGTAGTTGCCGAAATGGGATTACACCAGAACACGTCGACAACAATAGGTACACATTTTGGTCTGAGGAGGAGCACCGTTCAGATCGCTCGAATTGCGTAATGATAATCACGTCGGCGTATGTCGAATAGCCGTTTGATCGTACTGCTGCTGTCAACGAGGAGGGAATGGGTTAGCTTTGTCCAGCACCGTTGGGTGTCGTTATCAGGTTCACCCTTCATGGAAGGCATGATCGGCGTTGGTCACCAACACTGCTATCAACAGCTCAGGCACTTTTATGACGCAGCAATGAGCACATATTTATGACCAAGGCTAAACAGTACTGCACGCTCTATCGCATCACAGATGCACATGCATCAAATGTATATTTCACATGTGTGACTGACGACAAAATTTCTTTGGGAGCTCGAACGGTCTCGCTGCTCTTGCCGTTCGTCAGGCATGCGTATCCGGTAGTCTTTCCAATCGTGTGCTTGTACCAGAGAAATGTATTTTCGTCATAACCGGGTAGATTTGTTCGGACAACTTTCAGGTCCAGCCCATTGGTATATGAATACAAGGGAGCATGCCTGAGGAGCGGTAGGAACCGCAAGACCGATCATATGCTTCCAGGGAAGTTTTGTCCAGTCATTCGTACATTACTAATCAAATTCACAATTTTACTTGATATATATGTATCGAGTAAATTTGTTTGGACAGCTCTTTCAGGACCGGTTCGTTGGTGAAATAATTCTTTGATTCGGTGTTTTGAAGGTGGGTTGGATGCCAACAACCGCAATAATGATTAGTAATATACATATAATAAATATATAATAATATAATATATATATATATCGCTTGCGTAGATTCGGAAAAAGGCCGCGAAGTCAATCACTTGTTCCTTTGAAGCGGAAATCGGTTTAATGGATTGGAGGTATTCTTCCCAAACCGACAGATCAGATGTTGTGCCCATTTTTCGAGCTTCGTATTGTCGCAGGAAGTGTGAAGTCGGTTGCATTGTTTCGTTAGTAGTAGCCGCTGAACTATCCTAGCCACTAGGACTCAAACCAATTGCACACCATGCGAAAAGAGCTACTCATATATCATCAGACGACGGGAGTGCGGACTCCATGTTGCACCGTCCCGAAGCGTTTAGGGCATTCAATTCTCAGTATCTAAAGGAACCCGTTTTCTCTTTCGACTGTCCTGCACCGCCGCAGAATGGTCTCCGTAGACTTTGTTTCTACGGATGCAATGTAACGATAAATATATCGTGGTAAATGTGCCTTGTGTCTGCATTATGGGACACGAAGCTTTTGGCAAACAAAGCTCCTACTCATCAACTATCGTACGCGATTTCCGAGGTACGAGATTTAATCATACCTTCTGATTTTCGGTGATAGTCTTCTGCTGGCATTCATTCAGATTCGTGAACTATGCTCACGTATGTCAGTTGTTCTCGATTCACGTCTGGGAAAGAGTGCGCTGTCAGAAGCCGCGATGTTTTGGTGGCCAGTGAAGGCTAAGGAGCAGCCAGTTGTTTACCACGCCACCGGTACGGGAAGCTCGGCAAAAGTCCGGTTAGATATTGGTTCCGAGTTAGCCAGAATCAGTGAAGTTTGTTTTGCCATGATTTATCTGGAGCAGTCAACTGTTATATGTGAAGAATTGGACGGAATTTCGTTTGTACTGA